TGATATTCCCTCGGGTTTGGGCCTGGGCCTGATCAACCCGTGTCTCGGATCCGAGGGGTATCACATCTCTTCACTCTCTAGAGTAGCCATTTCCGAGATAAAATCATAATCAAAACAAGGAAAGTCCTCATTAATCATGTTATGTTCTATTGGATTAGCCACTAACTCACTTGCCACTTCCTCCTCTATACAAGATAGAGTGCTAGGCATTAGCTCACTTGTTTCATTCTCCTTACTCTCATCATCCTCATCTATATACATTGAAGTTCTTGCCATTTTTTCATTTGCCTCTTCCTCCTCCTCTTGATGAGAAAGAGTATTTGTAATTTGCTCAACTTGAGCTTCTAAGTTGGCTAAAGTTTGAGAATGAGAATTAATAAGTGAAGTGTGTGAAATATGCACATCAAGTAAAGCTAACACTTTTTCTTCAAATCCGGGTGAGTACTTAGAAGGTGGTGGAATTGATTCATCATAAAATGGTGGTGGAGGGCAATAGTCATAAGAAGGATTAAATGAGTGATCAAGTCCATAATAAGATGATGCATGAAATGAATTGGACTCAATCTCATAAGGATTAAAATGTGATGGAGGAGCATAAGGTGAAGGGATGTAATTCCCCCCCAAACTTGGATCAAACAATTCCTCCATTCACAATTAAAACCCAAATGCAAAAAAAAAATTAGCCTCAACAAGGGCCTATGCTTGGACAAAAATTTTGCAATAAAATAAGCCTCAACAAGGGCTATCACACGCATACAAAGAAGTGAAACAATTAAAATACAAGAGTTCCAAGAATTGCTCACAACGGTTTTTTAGCACTTCAACTCCAAATTTAGCTTTTAAGCTCCAATGATTGCTTTAAGTTCCAAAGTTTGCCTTCTTTGTAGTCAAGTACCTAATTGAACAAATAATAATGAGAATCAAGAGAAAAGAATATACAATGAAAAATAGAATAAAAATAGAAGCAATCTAATGAACACTATTGTCTAGTTTAATTCCAACAAAACCGTTAATCCCCAGCAACGGCGCCAAAAACTGACCAGTGTCCTCTTTTACAAGGGTCGCGATACCAAGTCAAGCTTGAAGAGTTGTGAATTTAGGAGGTGGCCAAGTTTTACATTTATAGAAAGCCACTACTACCTTTCTTTATATAAAATATAGATAGGGCGAATAGGGATCGTCCCAAAGGATTTGATGGTGTATCGAATTGTGAAACTATGGTAATTAGAGTTAGTAGGTCGAGTGATCACACAATTGATTGGTTGGTTGATTATACTAAATGAGCTAAACTATAATAAAGCAATGCAATAAGATAAAGAGTAAGTAAGAAGGAAAGGTCTTGGGGTGTAGAGATCACCACCAAACAATACTATTCCAAACCATAATCAAGTGACTAATGAGGGAAATGAATGTGTTGCAACAATGTTGTGTGTGTAAAAGACATTCAATTGGTAAGGGTGACTCAACAAGTGCAAATTGTCTCAATCAACATGTGTGAGGCCACAATACATCTATTGGTAGAGGAATATATTGTCTAAACATCATGTGAAGATAACAAAATAACAATTCAAGTCATTGAACCTTTCATTAAGCTCATAGTCCAAGCAATCCATAAGGATGATTTAGTTAAACATGCATTATCTAAACATCATGTGAGAGGTACAAAATATCTATTGGGAGAGGAATAAATTGTCTAAACACATGTGACAGATACAACATATCATAACTAGTCATTAATCTTTCATTAAGCTCAAAATTCTATTACACCACAATATTAGAGCATATGCTTCTTGCATTCAAAAGCATGGAACATCAAAGAACAAGCATGAATTGTTTCCCCAACTAACACTACACTACTTAAAAGAGAAGCACAATCCATCAAGGAATAAGTATGAACCATCTAGAGACATAACAAGAGCATTACATTAAGAACTTCATATTTTGACAATCTCAAGATTAAAGGCATTAATACACATAGACATGCATCAATAATATTAAATCTAGAGGTGAGCATCTACTCTAGCATACATAGACATATAGATAGAGAAAATGATCAATTAGAAGCATTAATCCATATAACTCAATGAATAATCAAGATCTTCATAAGTTCAAGAGTCAAAATATGCATTACAACACAAATCCCTCAAAATTACACAAGATTAGGTAAAGAAAGCATGTTTGGGGCTAACTCTAGCCCCAAGAGGATGTCTAGCCACTCATGATGATGAAGCTCCAACCCTCAAGGGCTAAATCCATGGTGAAAATCTGCTCCTTGATGATGAAGGTCTCCTCCAAAGGTTGCTCTAGCTTCCTCCTTTCTTCCTCTCCAAGAATAGCCTCCAAGATGATTTTCAATGTGTGACAAGAGACTCCCTCAAAAAGTGTTTCATATTCCTTATATAGGTAGGTCAAATACACCCCATGATGAGCTGTGGTCGTGCAAGGCATATTCTCCAATGATTGGATGAAGGACGGAATAAATGAGCTGGACTTTAACTTTTTCTCGCTGGAGGAAGTTCGATCGATCGAACCTTAACTTGGATTGATCGAAAATGGGTTCGATCGATCGAACTGCATCTTGGATCGATCGAAGTGGTCTGACTCCTCCGGATAATGACAAGGCTGTGATATTTTCAAGATATTTATGGGGAAAAAGACAAAAGTGGTTGGTAGGCGTACAGCTGTGGATAAGATCAATCATTTGAATAGGACAAATTAGGGTTCGATCGATCGAAGGTGATGTTGGATTGATCGAACTTGGAATTTCAGCAAAGGCCAAGGTTGGATCTATCGAGAAGTACTGTGATCGATCATAGATGTTCGATCGATCGAACTCTAAGTTGGATCGATCGAACTTTTCAGCTGCACAACTTGATTCCTTTTTGCTCCTTTCTTTCTCCACTTTGCTCCCTCCTTTGGTTTATCTCAGGATTGCTTCAATTAAGCTCTTATTTGGCTGAGTTAGCTCAATTTTGGGATTAGTGCCTGAAAATATAAATAACACGTAATAAGTCTAAAACGGCAAAGTAAGATAGATAAAGGTACTAGAATGCTTAAGCTTAACGGGTTTAAATGCGCACTTTTCAGTGCTCATCAACCCGCTGTCCACCTTGCCCCGCAGCTCACAGCCAAGTTCACCATCTCCTCCATCTTTCCTCCGGCCAAGCTCGCTGTCGCTGGTTGCCCATCTCATCCTCGCTGAAACTCTTCTGGGTTTGGGTTTGACAAGCCACATAAATGATATATGTATGTATTATATATAAATATATATATATATATATATATATATATATATATATATATATTTTAAAGGCCCATATCTCTCTGTTTGGCTACAAGTGTAGCACTGTCCTAGTTCAGGACCTGGACAAGAATCTAAACTGGTTTTGTTGTAAACCAGTTTAACCAAAACCAAAAAATAAAAAATAAAAAATAAAAATAAAAATTGCCGATTCAAATTGGGGACTTATTTTGGAACATTCAAAAGCTTGGATATTCTCATTGGAGCACACGTGGAAAAAACGACAAATGATAGCTTTATCTTCCAAGTAAGTATCTCAAATTTTTATACCGCGAATCTTCCGTTAGCGGTTTCATATATATATATATATATATATATATATATATATATTTTAGATTAAGAAAACTTAGTTTTTTTTAGGTGATTAACTTTTGCATGCAAATTTTAGGATAGAATAACTTAGACGTAAACCTTAGGTTCACATTTTTATTTTATTTTATTTTCTTTTTGTATTTCTTTTTCTTAAAAAAAAAAAAAAAAAAAAATTCACAGTCTCACTCCCTTTTTATTTTTATTTTATTGATTGTCTTATTTGTGCATCTTTTAATTAGCATTTGCATAAGATACTTAAGGGCAAAACCCAAACAAGATACGGTCGGGATTTCATCACCCGTTTTTCGTGGCCCACAAATCATTAAATCCTTGCATTTGTCAAACCCGAGCCAAATTTAATTTAATTTTAAAATCAAGTAGACATTGGCCATAGGGTTTTTCATATAGCTTATATGATCCTCTTGGACAGAATTAATTTTTGGTTACTCCAATTAGTACCTTCCAACTCGATAATGTCTAAGGAAAGTTTTGTCTAAGGGTGTGGGCGTACCGTCATTAAGCAGGCCTCGTCCTCCCCACACTTCCTGGAAACTTCCCTGGTTGTCTTGTTGGCAGGTCTTAATTGGTAAGCCTTTAATTGTTCTAAAAGAGAGTAGGAGCTTTTTCATAGGAGCTTTAATTACTTTAGAAAAAAAAAAATCATCATCCTTGAATTTAAGCTCAAGATTAAAAAGCCAAAAATATTTGTGTGGTTTGTGTGCACTCCAGTGTCTAGCCCATTTTTAGGATCTAATTCTCAAGGACTTTCCCTTAAAAAAAAAAAAAAAAAAAAAAAAAAAAAATTGTGTGTGCTCTTTGGTGTCCGTTTTGTATGCCCAACTGGTTAAGAGTTAACAAACAATTAATCCGTTGTTCTAGTGATCCTTCAATCTTTGCTTTGGAGAAAGCATTCTTACTTTCTTCCAAATCCAATTATTCTCCAATGGATCCACTTGTTCAACCAGTTCCACCACTTATTCCACCAGTTCCACCACTTGTTCCACCAACACAACCGGTTGTCCCACCTGCTCCTAGAACTTTGAATGACTATTTTGCCCCTATCACAGCCAATCCACCCAATTGTATTGTTCTTCCTCCAGTCGGACCTCAATTTGTGATTAGAGCCCATATCATCAATATGTTACCTAAATTTCATGGATTTGAAAGTGAACAACCTTATGTCCATTTAGGGAAGTTCCTAACCATTTGCAGTACTTTCAAAAATCAGCATTTAGATGATGAAGGTGTCAAATTACGTCTGTTTCCCCTGTCCTTAGATGATAAAGCTTCCTCATGGTTCAACTCTTTTCCTCCAAACTCCATTAGATCATGGGATGAACTTGTTAAAAAATTCATGAACAAATTTTATCCAATGCAAAAAACGGAGTTAATGAGAAATGCCATAAGCACTTTCAAAGGGAAAAATGAAGAACAATTCCATCAAACTTGGGAGCGTTTTCATGATTTGCTTCTTAAATGCCCACATCATAGCTTTGAGAAACCACAATTAGTTCATTCTTTCTATAAAGGGCTTTCTCCTACTAACCGAGCCATGATTGAGTTAATGCATCAAGGAAAGTTCAAATCCCAAACTCCTGAAGAAGCTTATGCTTTATTAGAAGAACTTGCTGAGAATGCCCAAAGTTGGAATTGGAACCCTTGTGATGACGAATTCTCTAGGAATAATCCCACCAAAAGAACTTCCAATCCTTTTGAGCTCAAACCTAAACCTGAATTCAAATCAGTGATGCAAAGTCTAGCGGAAGGAGTCAAAGATTTGAATAAAAAATTTGATGCCTTTGCTCTCATGTCAACAACTACAAAATGCAATGTATGTTCAAGTTCATCTCATCCCACTGAAGCTTGTCCGATCTACTGTACATCTGAACCTTCAGATGCACAAGTTTGTGCCTTTAATACCTATAGGAAACCGACGGCTAATTCCTTTAGTCAGACGTATCATCCCGATTCAAGAAACCATCCAAATTTTTTGTGGCGACAAAATTTGCCTCCACAAAACTTAGGTGGTCCTCCAGGTTTCCAAGGTAATCCCAGTAGGCCCGCATAACCTCAAGGTTCTCTTGTCCCTCTAGGATATTTTCCTAGAAACAATCAGTTCAATCAAAATAGAGAACTTGCAATTGATCCAATGAGCAATTATGTTGCTCCTGTCCCAAAGTACCACCGTGCTACCAATTATGAGGACACTATGAAAATGCTTGCCCTTAATCTTGATCAATCTAACAAGCAATCAGATCAGAGAATTCAAAAGTTGGAGAGTCACTTTGACCTCTTAACTTAGAGTCAACTCCAATTTCAACAAACTATCCAAAGTCAGTTGACTCAACTCACTTCTGCACTGTCTGAAAGACAAAAGGGTACCTTGCCTAGCCAACCTGAAATTAATCCAAGAGGTAAAAAAGTGAATCACATTAGAATTTCTCCTCCCACTGACCAATCAAATAATCAAGTGAACTCCATCTTAACCCTTTGGTTAGGGAAGAAAGTCAATAACCAAGTTGAGCTACCCACCCAAGCTACAAGTGCACCATCCAAGTCTAGTGCATCAGACCCACCCAACACCAAAGAGGACCAAGGTTCCAAATCTGATCTAATCCATCTTCAATCTTATGTTCCCCCCGCCTTATTTCCTTCTCGACTAGTCAACAATAAGAAGGAGTCACAATACAGTGAGATCTTAGATATTTTTCAAAATCTTCAGATCAATATTCCATTTCTCACTACTATTAAACAAGTTCCTTCTTATACAAAGTTCATCAAAGATTTAGTCAAAAGGAAAACTAACATCCCAAAAGAAGATTTCATAGCCCAAAATTGTTCTTCCTTCTTACAAAATCAAGTCGTGGTTAAGCATAAAGACCCTGGTAGTCCAACTGTCATTTGTAGGATTGGAGAAAAGTTTACTGACCATGCTTTGTTGGATCTCGATGCTAGTGTGAATTTGTTACCATATTCAGTGTATTTGGAGTTAGGCTTGAATAATTTGAAAAAAACTGATGTTAGGATCCAATTAGCTGATCGTTCTGTCAAAATTCCACGGGGTATAATTGAAGATGTGATAGTGAAAATAGTTGATTTCTATTACCCGGTTGATTTCATTGTTCTAGATACCCAACCTACCCAAGGTACGCAAATTCCTATCATCTTAGGTCGACCATTCTTAGCTACCGCTAATGCTGTGATCAATTGTCAAAACAGTAGTATGACTTTAACCTTTGGGAACATGAAATTGGAAGTCAATGTGTTTAAATTAATGAAGCAACCCCCTGACTCAGATTCCATTGAAGAAATTTATCTCATTGAGTCATTAGCCGCTCACACCTTTGAGCACTCTTACCCTGAGGATCCACTCCAATAGTGTTTAGCACATTTTTGTGATGAGTTTGATGCGGATAGTTATATTGGTGAGGTCAATGCTTTACCCGATTCCATTCCAATCTTTGAACCACCAAAGATTAGGTTTGAACCATTATCTGTTCCCGCTACCACTGCTCTTGAAACTAAGAAGAAGCCACCCAAGGTTGAACTAAAGCCTCTACCTGAGACTTTAAAGTACTCTTACCTAGGTGAGTCCGACACTTTTCCTATGGTAATTGCTTCAGACTTAACTACCCATCAGGAAACCCAACTTCTTAAGGTTCTTAGGGAAAATCGTGCAGCCATAGGGTGGTCCATTGATGATATTCGCGGCATTAGTACTTTAGTGGTTCAACATCGTATTCGTTTAGATAATTATGCAAAAACCTATAGGCAGCCCTAAAGGAGACTTAACCCTAATTTAAAGGAAGTTGTTCGTGCTGAAATTATCAAACTTCTTGATGCCGGTGTCATCTATCCCATTTCTGATAGTCAGTGGGTAAGCCCCATTCATGTTGTCCCTAAAAAATCAGGCATCACCGTTGTATCCAATAGCTATAATGAATTAGTTCCTACTCGTGTCCAAATTGGATGGCGAGTTTGCATTGATTATCGAAAGCTCAATACTGTCACTCGAAAGGATCATTTCCCTCTGCCTTTCATTGATCAAATGTTAGAAAGATTAGCTGGTTTATCCTTCTATTGCTTCTTAGATGGTTACTCTGGGTATAATCAAATCCCTATCCATGTTGATAACCAAGATAAGACCACTTTCACCTTTTCATTTGGCACATTTGCTTATCGTCGCATGCCTTTTGGTTTATGTAACGCACCTGCTACATTTCAGCGGTGTATAATGAGTATTTTCAGTGACATGGTTGAAAAGTTTCTTGAAATCTTCATGGATGACTTCTCTATCTTTGGTTCATCATTTGAGCAATGTCTTCACCATCTTACTCTTGTTCTTCAGCGTTATCGTGACACTAACTTGGTTCTTAACTAGGAAAAGTGTCATTTCATGGTTAAAAAAGGAATTGTTCTAGGTCATAATATCTCTCCGCTGCAGGAATTAAGGTAGATCAATCCAAAGTTGACCTTATCTCAAGTTTACCCATTCCCAAAACTGTTCGGGATATTAGAGCTTTCTTAGGTCATGCTGGTATTTACCGTCGTTTCATTAAAAATTTCAGCAAGATAGCAAAACCTCTCACCCATCTATTAGGGAAGGATATACCCTTTGAGTTTACCGATGCCTGCCACTCTGCTTTTGAACAATTAAAGTCAGCTCTCACCACTGCATCCATCATTCGTTCGCCAGATTGGAACTTACCTTTTGAAATCATGTGTGATGCGTCGGATTATGCAGTAGGAGCTGTCTTAGGTCAAAAGGTTGAGAAAGCACGACATGTCATCTATTATGCTAGCAAAACCCTAAATGATGCCCAAACCAACTACTCCACCACGGAGAAAGAGTTGTTAGCCGTCGTGTTTTCTTTTAACAAATTTCGCTCCTATTTGATCGGTTCTGATAAGTGCTTAAATGTTGCACATTTCAGCACCTAAGCTAAGGTATTTTAGTCTTTGCATCTATCTTAATTTTATGTTTTAGTCTTAATTTATGTTTATGTGTATTTCAGGGCAATAAAGTTAAAATGAGCTAAGAACGGTCCAATTAAGCCTTTTTGGAGTTAAGCAAAAATTTTCAGACAATGGCACAAAGCGGTCAATTTCGGGCCTTTGATGATGTTCCCAAAGATGGAGAAGCAAACCAAATAGCCCGGGGCAAAAATGGAGCTGAATAAGGCTTAAAGGAATTTGTCAACTCTGAGGGGATCGATCCCCAGGGTGGGGGATCGATCCCCCAGGACTTAGCAGCATTACAGTTTTTATTTAATTTTTGGGCTCATTTTGGGAACTATTGGGCTTTAATGAGATTGTTACTTAAGGCCCAGTGAGCCATTAGATTACGGTTAGTTTTAGTTTTTATTTAGGTAAAGATTATTAGAGAAATGAATTAAGTTTTATTTTATTATTATTTTTCTGTATCGTAGTATCATATTTTCTCTCTGGAAAAACACGCGAAAAAAGAGAAAAAGCAAGAACAGGCTAGGGTTTGGAAGAAAAGTTCAGAGAAGATGAAGCAGATGATGGGGATTGTCCTGTCTTCGACTCCATCAACCATGAGTGGCTAATTCTTCTACTTAGGGTTGGATAAACTCTAAGCATGTAACCTATTCTCTCTCTCTTTTCATACTTTTTGGGGATTAATTTATGTAATTAGTGTATAGTCTTGAATATTATGAATTAAATTCTTCCAATTGATTATCTGTATTAATCTCATATTGTCTTATGTGTGGTTGATTGATAAACAAATTTTACACATGAATTCTTTGTTAATTGATTCTTGTGATGGCTATGCATGGTATTGCTTAGTTGTAATTGTGTTTCAAATTGATGAAAAATGCTTCCATTTGATGGATGGTACTACATGTTTAGGTTAATTTGTTGTCTAATTAGTTTTAAATTCATGTTTAATTAGTTTAATTTAAGTTTAATTAATTTAATTGCAATTCAATTATTAGGTAAGTAGACCATCCATACTTATGTTTAAATTCCATACTTTTTGTCACAATTGCATTATCTTCTAGATTAATGTGTGTTAAATTTGTAACTTGGATTGATAAATCATGCTTTGAATTGGTGAATTGCACTACACTTAGTTTAATTGTCATTAGGTAGTTGATTCATGCTTGAAATTGATGGTTTACACTTTTCATTGCACTTGTTAGCCACATATAGATTACATAGTATTATTTCCCCAATTAGTTGAAAGTGAGTGAGTTAGGGAATGTGCTTAGTGGTGAATCCTACACCCTAAGTCTCTTTCCAATCTCTTAAACTCTATTTCTTTATTGCAATCATTTAGTTTAAAATTAGTTTTAATCACAAACAAAACCCTTTTGGCAATCACATAAGCACTAAAGTAGAATTCAATTCTGGAAAACCTATAATTGTTTAGATCTCTTGGGACGATCCCTGCTCACTTCATACTCTATAGTATAAGTGTTTAGTGATTTTATAAATTTTAAAATATGGTGCCCACTTGACATTATTTCTAAACCTAAAGTGTTGTGCATTATTTTGTGCACACACTTGGTCGCACCAGGTTCCAAGGTCATTATCTATACCGATTATGCTACATTAAGACATCTTTTGTCCAAAGCAGATGCCAAACCTCGGTTGATCCGTTGGATCTTTCTTCTTCAAGAGTTTGACCTTGAGATTCGTGATAAGAAAGGCTCAGATAATTTGGTGGCCGATCATTTGTCCCGTCTTGTTGTTGAGTCCATTACTGAATCCATTCCAATCTCAGATGCTTTTCCGGATGAACAATTATTTGCAATAACTCATGCCCCATGGTATGTTGATATTGTCAATTATATTGTGACAGGTCAAATTCCTTCCACTTGGTCCAAACAGGAGAGAGAAAAATTTCTAACTACGGTTAAGGAATATTTTTGGGATGACCCCTACTTGTTCAAATATTGTCCAGATCAAATCATCCGTAGGTGTGTCCCTGAGATAGATCAAGGGTCTGTCATTTCCTTCTGTCATGATCAGGCATGTGGAAGCCACTTTAGCTCTAAAAGAACCGCTGCAAAAATCTTGCAGTCAGGATTTTATTAGCCCACCCTTTTCAAGGATACCCACACCTACTGTTTGGCTTGTCATAGATGCCAATTGTTAGGTAAGATTACCAAGCGTAATGAATGGCCCCAACAACCCGTTCTAGTTGTTGAAATTTTTGATGTTTGGGGTATTGATTTCATGGGACCCTTTTCTTCCTCATATGGATGTCTTTACATCCTTCTAGCTGTTGATTACGTGTCTAAATGGGTAGAAGCCTTAGCCACCAAGACAGCCGACCATCGAGTTGTGGTGCGTTTCTTCAAAGACTTAATTTTACCTAGGTTTGGTACACCTCGAGCCATTATAAGTGATAATGGTTCACATTTCTGCAATAAAGTCTTTGGAAGTTTATTGTCCAAATATGGTATCACTCACAAAGTGGCCCTGTCATATCACCACAAACCAATGGTCAAGCTGAGGTATCCAATAGGGAAATCAAGCAAATACTGGAAAAAACAGTTAATCCTACACGGAAAGACTGGACCCTCCGGCTTCAGGATGCTTTGTAGGCATACCGAATTGCTTACAAGACCCCTATAGGAATGTCCCCATACCGTTTGGTTTATAGAAAAGCCTGTCATTTGCTAGTAGAGCTGGAACACCGTGCTTATTGGGCCATTAAGGCCATGATTTTTGACTCTGATAAAGCCGGTAAACATAGGAAACTTCAGCTTGATGAGTTGGAAGAAATTCGAAATGATGCCTATGAGAGTTCCAAAATGTGTAAAGCCAAAACAAAGTTGGAACATGACAAGCACATTCTTCGAAAGGATTTCTTCCCCGGACAAAAGGTTCTTTTGTATAACTCCCGTCTTCAATTGTTTCCTGGGAAGTTACGGTCACGTTGGTCTGGCCCATACTTTGTCAAACATGTGGCAAGTCATAGTACAATTGAGGTACAAGACCCCACGACTGGGGAATTGTTCAAAGTTAATGCTCATCGCTTAAAACCTTTTTTTGAGCTCGAGTCTCATGAAATTGAGGAAATTCTCCTCATCGATCCTGTCTATTCGGATTGATCTCTCTGGGGGTACTATCCCCCTTGCGTCTGGCTGAAGACGTTAAACTTAGCGCTCCTGGGAGGCAACCCAATTCCTTGTTTCTATTTCTTTAGCTATGCTTATATTTTGTTTGAGGGTACAATTTATCATAATTTCAGAACATTTGGTCTCTCTTTTGTAATGACTATCTGTAGGGATTGTAGTATTGTACTTCAGAAGCACCAAATCAATTGAGGTAATTCGTTCCAATTTTTCTTTTTCTCCAACGGTACATTGGCCATTTCATTCACCACTTTTCAGTGTTCTATTTTTCAAACACTAGGGACAGTGTTTTATTTTGTTTGGGGGTAGGACAGATTTATCAAAACATGTACCTCTTTTGAAAATCTTTTCACAAAAAAAAAAAAAAAAAAAAAAAAAAAAAAAAATTCATGCTTTTTTTACTTTGTGAAAGTTAAGAGATGTCATTATTCTAGATTGAGATTGAGCTTGTTACTAAGGTGATATAACGATGGACATTGCACCATGAGAATTTAGAAGTAGAAATATTTTTGCACAAAGTCGCAGCTTGAAAGAAAGAAGTGAATAATCTCCCAAGAATCTAGAAATCTATTACTGGAGACTTAAAACCATGTGAGCTTTCGTGCCTTTCATCTTTTTAGAGAGTTTTACGCTAACTCCGAGTCACAAGATGGCTCAAATTTCTTGGATAGCGCGATAAAAATTTGTTGTTAGTCTCATAATCCTTCATCTTGGTAGATCATTGAGAATGAAATCACATCGAGTTAAGAGAAACATAAGTCTTCTAGTTTACCATGTACTATCATATTTTCATTACCTTTTGTAATCTTGTTATTTCTCTGAGAAATGTTAATGATGACTGTATGTAAAAGAAAAAGGGATCAAGAAGTCATTCATATCCTCTTTAAAATAAAAAAATAAAAAAAAAAACAAGAAGAAGAAGAAGAAAAAATGAAAAAGAAGAAGAAGAAGAAGAAGAGTAAAGTATCCCTTTCAAGTATTTTGAAGACCCCTCATTCTCAGAAACATTTATGTACAAATTGAGCTCAATAATATTTTTAAAAAATGTATGATAGTGCATAGTAAATAAGAAGGCGTTATGGTGGGTAACTCGAAATTCTCTCAAAAGTGATCAACATTCCTGTCATGAGACTCTTCTATATTATGTATCGGTCCTTCAAATAATTAGTATGTGAGCTTGATTTTACTTTGGAAACAGAGTTCCTACTCACATACATTTGAGAGATACAGTTAGCCAAATATTCGAGAGATGTTATTTTAGAGAGATATTTACTGTGCGATTTGAAGTCAAAACATAGTTTTCTAAAGACTTGGGAATTTCATCACTTGGATTTGAAAATGGATTTTTGTTGACTTTGCACACACACACTCTTTACTTCTAAGTTGTTTATGGGTGAACTTTCTTGAAATATTTGTTTTTATAACACCTTAGTAGCTTGTTGTATATAAAGAACTTGATATTTTCATCTCTGAAACTCTTGATTTTGTAAATATGCAAGAAAATTCTTTGAAAGTTTGTGGGTACCTTCACTGGAAACCTTCACGAGGCTATAACTCGTCCACTAGGGGTAACCTAGTGGTTTAAGGCCTTATTGTATATGGTAAATGCAATCGAAAGTAGCCTGCGAAAGTGGCACATCTTTTTGTTAATCAAAGTAATATTTTTTGTGAACTTATCTATTTTTGCCTTTCTTTGCTAGAGGACTAGCAAAAGCTTGTTTGGGGGTAATTTGAAAAGTACACAAAACCTATTATTTTATGCACCAAAATAAGTTTTTAATTAGACTTTTTATTATTTAAATATTCTTATATGTTTGTTTTGTGTTTTGTAGGTATTAATGCATGAATGAGAAGAAAATAAACAAAAAATGGAAAATAAATGAGGAGAGAGAAAGAAGAAGAGAGAAAGAAGAAAAGAAAAGAAAAAAAGAAAAACAAAAATGAAATGATGTTCACGTGAAGAAAAGAGAAATGAGGAGAGAGAAAGAAGAAAAGAAAAAGAAGAAAAGAAAATAAGGGAAAGAAAAGTCAACAAGAAAAGGTGAGAAGGTGGTTGATGCATAATGGGTTGATATAGAAGTGGGCAGTGGTCAGAGTAATGTATAGCTAGATGGCGTGAAGGAAATGAAGAAGCAGTTTGGGCCATCATCACAGCCTACAAGTGGGTGTCTTCCTTTGGCTATAAAAGACACACTTCGGAGGCAGATGAGGAGGAGAGTTAGAGATAGAGTTGGATAGATTTAGAGAATTATAATTTATTTCTTTATGTAATTTTCTTTAAAGTTTGTTTAATTTAATGCAAATTATGTCCACAAGTTTCATTCTCATTTAATTTCTAATTCGAATGTTTAATGTTTTATAATTGTAATTTCATTTCCATAGTTCGTGACAAATCTCAAAATCAATATTTTTAAATCTCTTGTTCGGAAATAGAAACTCACCTTGAATGCATGGTTCGACCCTACTTGCCATTAGACATTTTTAGTTAAATGGTTGTAGGTATTTTATATGTTGATATGGAGTGTATTTGACAACGACAAGTCTATAAATACACGCCTATCACAGTACGTTACTGAGAGAAAGATGACTTGCGTCTCATAATGAAAACGTGCATCATCCTTCACAATATGATCATTGAAGATGAGCGTCACTCAAATGTTGGAAGATGGACTCCGCCACCGGAGGATGCAATCCTGATTCCCACTTTAAGTCGATGCCCATCAGTTTTAGCGGCACACATATCCTCTCGCCAACTTCAGATTCGCAACAGAGAGATAAATACGCGGTTGAGGAATGATTTGATGAAAAATTGTGGAACCGCTATGTTGATGAAGATGTTTAATTTATGTTGTATTTTGTTTGCTTTTAAGATGTTATGACATTTCGTATACTAAATTTTTTATTATGTAATGGTTTTTTAAGATTAAAAATAATGAATTGGAATAAGTAAATAAGTATTACAAAATCCAATGAGAATAAGTAGATGAATTTGTAATTTTAATTATTTTTTTTACAAAAAGTTTTTTAAAAAAGCTTTTTTTTATCTATTTTTGGCCCAAATAAATAAGGATTACAAAATAAGGATTAAAAATAATGAATTGAAATAAGAAAATAAGGATTACAAAATCCTATGGGAATAAGTAGATGAATTTGAAATTTTAATTATTTTTTTTACAAAAAAAAAAAAAAAAAAAATTAAATTAGATATATATATTTAAAAATTATTGCCGTTAAGGCACAATTTGTGTCGGCCAAACAGTGCCTTAACGGCCAAATGTATTGTTTGTGATACACATTTAAAATTTAAAGCCAAATATATATATATATTAATGAATTTATTTTTGGCCCAAATAATTTTTTTTTTTCGATAAACAGTGCTTAAACAATATATTTTTTATTTAATGAATTTTATTTTAATTTTCTTTTTCTAAAACTCAAAATAACGTATTTTTAGGGACTGTTTGGCGCATTGTTCCAGGAGCTGCAGAATAAGACAAAAGAGGGGCAGCCCGAACGGCGCCATTTTGAAGCAAGAAAAAACAAAAAAAAAAAAAATGGCAGCGATCGTGGGCTGGCTCGCTGAATACCGCGAGCCAGCCCATGAGCAAAAATGGGCCCTACCAATTTTGAAGAGGCCGCTACACGCCAAAAACCTTTCTCTCTCTCTCGGAAATTGGGCTATGAAGAGCCCACTACAGATGGCCTTAGAGTAATATGCTGGACTGGTTCTTTCTCATATTGATACTGCATGCCTGCAATCATTTTACCTCTGAATTATCTTATATACATGCTATAAGCTTTGATTTGAGGACTAATCATTGAATGCGTGTGAGTGTATTGTTTGAGGTGTAATATAGTATATGAAATTCAGTTTTTTATAGAACATAATGTCATCAAAAGACCATTACCTTGTATAATGGAGGTAAATCTATAACTACAAATGGGGACTGGAAAAAATTACTTCAATTTATTGGAGCACTGCACCTATGTAGTTATAATGGTTTTCCCCCGGCTTTAATGCGATATGGGCTATAGTGCTTAGTGCTGTAGCGTTTTTCCTTACTAGTAAAGGTGCTGCTATTTTTACTAGGAGATAATTGAGACACTTGAGTGCAATCTCCCATTTCGGGTCGTAGTAGGGAAGCTAGACATCGCACTTTTTGGATAAAGATAGAAGATGGACACAGTTTTGAATGTCTTTTAGAGGTTAACCAGAGATAAGAATTTGTGATGGGAGAGATAGGGAGTGGCTGCAAGGAGGAAGGATGAGTAACGAGTACCAGTGTATAGTACTCATTGTTTGGCTCCTTGTTCACTTATATTTTCTCTCTTTTGTTTCTTTGTCCTTACAATATAAGCATCAAATAGTAGCTAGACTTGGTGACTTTCTATGTCAATAGGAGCGTGTGTATTTGGACAGAAGCTACAATTGCATTTCGATTTTGGAGTCCAAGGGGTAAACAATGAGAAGAGCACATCTAAACTAGTTTATGAATAAACTTGGTGAACGTTAAAACCTCTTAATGATGTATATTGTGTAACAAGCATGGCTGACATGTTAAAAGGTTATCCATTACCTAAAAAAAAATAGCAAAAGTTCAAATGGATTTTTTTTTTTATTTTTTTATTTTTTTATTTTTTTATCCATACAAAATACAATAAGTAACGAGTACCAGTGTACAGTACTCATTGTTTGGCTCCTTGTTCACTTATATTTTATCTCTTTTGTTTCTTTATCTTTACAATGTAAGCATCAATTAGCAGTTAGACTTGGACTTTCTATGTCAATAGGAGCGTGTATTTGGACAGAAGCTACAATTGCATTTCGATTTTGGAGTTCAAGGGGTAAACAATGAGTAAAGCACATTTAAACTAGTTTATGAATAAACTTGGTGGACGTTAAAACCTCTGAGTGATGGACATTGTGTAACAAGTATGGTTGACATGTTAAAAGGTTATCCATTACGTAAAAAAAT